CACACACACACCCACACCCCACCCCACCCCCCAGGCCGCCAAGGACGTGGTCCTGGCCCCCAAGCCCGTGATCTCGGACGATGCGTCCGGCCTGGAGCCCCACGTGCTCAACCAGCTGCTGGCCCAGATAGGCAGCCTGGCTTCCGTGTACCATAAGCCCGCGGAGTCGTTCGTCAGCAGGCAGCGGCTCGCGGTCGCGCGTGCTGAGGAGCTGCAGGTGTGAGGGGAGGGGCAAAAGGGATGGGGGTGGAGTAGACGAGCGTGTGTGTGCACGGGCAGTGACGGACGCAGCTGGAGCGGGCGGCAGCAGGGAGGGGATGGGGACAGGGACGCGTGGACACCGCAGAGGGCGGTGACGTGCAGTCACCGCGCACCCGAGCGGCGTCACCATGGTCACCTGACCACCCCGACCAACCCAGTGCCGGTCGTACCGCGTGTCTCCCCGACTTCCTTTGCTCCACAGGGGGTGGAGCACAAGTTTGTGGACGACGAGGCGGCGCCGAGGCCCAGCGACAACGGCGTCGCTGCCGCGGTGGGCGGCGGGCCTGATCGCGCCTCCGAGAGGTTCTGGCAGGGGGTGCCGCTGCCCGCGGCCCAGCCGTGCTTGGTCTTTGTGGCCGCTGGTCGTGATTGCGTCGGTCGCTGCGCAGACAAGAGGGCGCAGCCCGGCTCGGTCCTCCCGCCGCTGCTGCTCCCCGCACCTGCCATGGACCCTGGTGACACCCCTGCGCGCCGGCCCCCTGCCGTTCCCTCGCAGGTCCCCCGCGACAACGGCGCAGGCCCCGGCCAATCCTCCAGCAGCGGCGCGCCGCCCGCGGCCGCCGCGCCGCCGCCGCCGCCGCCCCCGGCCGTCGACCTGCTTGGGGGCGACCTCCTAGGGGACGAGACGCCCCCCACCTCAAGTGGCGGCGCGCCGCCCGCACCGCCCGCAGTGGCCGCGGCGGGGCTTGATGACTTGTTGGGTGGCATGGGCATCGGCGGGGGCGCGCCGGCAGCTGCGCAGCAGCCGCCTGCGGTCTCGCCTGCGGCGGCGGTCGCGGACGACCCGTTCGCGCTGCTCGGCGGCGGCGGCCCGGCGCACGCGCCCGCGCCGGCAGCGGCGCCGGAGCTGCCGCTGCTGCTGGGGCCTGAGAAGGGCAAGGGGCTGACGGTGCGCGGCCGGGTGGTTCGGCGGGACGGCGCGGCGGCGTACCACCTGCACCTGTCCAACGGCGGCGGCGTGGCGCTGGACGGCTTCATGCTGCAGCTGAACAGCAACGCGTTTGGGCTGGCGCCGGCGGACCAGGTGGTGGCGGTCGGGTCGCTGGCGCCGGGCGGCAGCGGCGCCGCGTTTGTGCGGCTGGCGGTGAACCCGGCTAAGGTGGCGGCGGGGCCGGCGAGCTCAAAGCTGCAGGTGGGGCTGGTTTGCCGGGGAAAGTGTTCTTTGGCGGGCAGCAGGACGGATCCTGCTGCTGACAAGGGCGCGCGTGCGCGCGTGCACAACACACACACACACATTCACACACACACACACACACACACACACACACACACACACACACACATTCACACACACACACACACACACACACACACACACACACTTCAAGACACGTGCATACAGACACACATCAGCTCACACAAACGCAATCCCACACACAACTTCACACACGATACTCCTGCGCGCACAAACGTACATGCACCCCTGCCAGGTGGCGCTCAAGACGGGGCAGCTGGGCGTGTTTTACTGGGACGACGCCATCCCCCTGCCCGCCGTGCTGGAGGAGGGCGGCACCATAGACGGCTCCGCCTTCCTCAGCGCCTGGCGCGGGCTGGCGCAGGAGTCGGCGCAGCGGCTGGACGTCACCATAGGCGACATAGAGGCCGCAAAGGCCAAGCTGGCGGCGGCACGGCTCTTTGTGCTGGCGCACCGGCCGGTGGGTGCGGGGCAGGCGGTTGTATGTTTGGGGGGGGAGTCATGCTTAGTCAGGGCGTCCTGGCACCTCGGCAGCTCCGCAGCGCTGCTGACTTGAGCACGCGGAAGCTCGCTGACCGGGCGTGGCCGTGTTCCAAACCGCGCCGCACTGCAAGTGCGGGTCCCCCTCCCCTGCTGCATCCCGCACACACACTACGACCAGCATCGTCCTTACCCTGCCCCGCAACACCGTCCATCCCACCCATCCCCGCCTTCCCCCAGGTCCCGGGCACCGGCCAGGACGCCCTGTACGTGACCGCCCGCCTGCCGGGCGTCGCCGGCGCTCCCCCCACGCAGCTGCTGCTCGAGCTGCGGCTGACGCGCGGCGCGCCCGGCGTGGACGCTGCGTTCAAGTGCCAGCGGCCAGACCTTGCGCCGCTCGTGTTTGATGCGGTGGACAAGGCACTCAAGGCATAGGCGTATCCTCGGGCAGCAGCATTGATCCTGATTGGCGCGATCGTGCAAACATACGTGCCGCGCGACTTTGCAGCATTGCACTGGCCTGGCCGCATTCTCGCACCTGCCTTCCTCTTTTGATTTGCGCCGCTGTGTATGCCTATGTCCTGTAACTTTTCCCTGGTTGCGGCCGCTGTTTGCGGCGTCTTTGGGAGTGACCAGCCTGTCAGACGTCACGCTGGTCTGATCCCCGATGGGCGTTTTTCACGGTTGCAAAGGGCCTGCGCGAGTTGCAAAGCTTGAGAACCGGGCTGGCTGAAGCCCTCAACCTTGGGATGATGTTGCAATGGGGAAACCACAGCCCTGAAGGAAGCAGCCACTTGGGGCGGCTGCGCAGCGCACCCGCCGGAGGGTGATATCGCGAGGCGCTCTGGCGGCAAATGCCAGCGAGACCGCAACTTGCCGTGCAGCCGAGCGTGAAGCACGCTGCCCTTGTAGTTGCGGTGGCATCCGCCACGCCCGCCACCTCCACTCCGCCCAGGCTGTATGTAATCAAGCGAACGCGCCAGGCGCTTTGGCGCAGTGGATCTGCAGTGTGGTCGGAGCTTCAGGTGTGGCGGCGCTAAGTGGGATTTCAGAATTTTTGATTTGGGGTGACCCAGCAGCCGCAAATCAGCAGCACCAGCACCAGCAGCTCAACTGCAGCACAGGCATTTGTCGGCCTGCGGCAGATGAGCGCATGCACGCACGTGCCAAGATGGCGAACCCATCTAGCACATCCCTCTGCGTCTGTGCGATCTGCCACCTGACTCGTTGTTGCTCATGCCTGCTACAAGAGCGCCTGGCCGGGCCGCAAGCAGTCCTGCAAGGGGCAGCAGGCACAGCCGAGTGCATGACCCAGTGGACCTGACGAGCAGCCAGAGCTTTGGCGTCTTGCCCCCGAAAGGCACGTAACAGCGGCTGGTCTGAGCGTGATTGGCAGATGGCGTTAAATACGTGTCATTGTAACAGAGCATACTGAGAGCATTCGTGTGCACGCCGCACATGCGGGCACCGCAGGGCGCTCGGCCACAGCGGGCGATATGGGACGGTTGTAGCTACGGATGGCGAGGCAGTCACATGCGTGTGATCATCGCCGCACAATGTGTCATACACTTCACCGCTCGTTTGTAGGGCTCCATTGCTGCAAACTGCACATAGTTACCCGCCAAGTGACACCACGTGCTCTTTCCCTGAGCAGATCTGTTGCAGCGACTGTACACGTATGCAATTTCAACGTTGATCCACTCTGTATTCACGTCAGACGCTTGGCTGATTATAGATCACAGCGCGGAAAGACGCTCAGACTGGAGCCTGGCCTGGGGGCAAGGAGATTTCGATGAGCAGGTTGTAAATATAACATGCATTCACCGATCTTAGGTTCATGCGCCTCAACACTTTTTAGGCGCATGCGCAGCCCGCCGTGCTAGCGGCGCTCCACAGAGTCTGTACTGCGCCTGTGGGTGCCTGTCACGTATCATATAGCAACAGCTGATTAAGTTTCCACCATCATGCAACCGCTCAACTACCCTTGCAGCAGGCCTCGCCACGCTGGGCTGTGCCTGCCGCGGCGCAGCCCAGTTCACACCGCCATCACCGCCGCTGCATCTGCCCTGCTTCTGCTGCTGCTGCTCCTGCTGGCAGCGGCCCCGCGCCATGTCGCGGCGCAGTGCACCACCATACTGGTCGGCTCTGGCGCCACGGTCGACGGGTCCATGATCATGGCGCGCAACGCGGACGCCGGCGAGGCGATCAAGCCGGCTGGCCTCCTGCACCACCCCGCGCCCGGCAAGCCGGTCCACTTCCGGTCAAACATCAACGCCTTCGCCGCCGACCTCCCCGCCGACGCGCTCGCGTACACCGCGTCCCCCTCGTTCTTCACGATGGCCCCCGGCTCCCACAACCCCTCGTTTGAGTGCTGCGGCGTCAACGCCGCGGGCGTCAGTGTGACCGCGACGGAGACCATTCTGCCAAGCGCTAAGGCGCTGGCCGCAGACCCCCTCGACGAGGAGCGGGGCCTTGGGGAGGACGGCATCGTGTCCGTCCTGCTTCCGGTGGCGCGGAGCGCGCGGGAGGGGGTGGAGCTGCTGGGGGCGATGGTGGAGGAGCGGGGGGCGTCGGAGGGCTACGGGGTGGCCCTCATGGACCAGCGGGACCTCTGGTGGGCCGTGGGGCCGCGCGGGTTGCTCTTGCATTTGCACACGTTTGCGTCTGTGAAGGAGTAGGGGCTGATCCTGCTGTAGAGGGCGGCAAAGGGGCGTGTGGCCTTGGTGACATGCGCTCAAGGGTGTGGGCCTGTGCTGTGGAAGTGCGTCCCGCACACTACAGGCCTATCAGCCCCGACGAGCCCGCCTCCACGACACTGCCTGCGACGGCAGGTACTTTGAGAATGGCGGCGGCCACCAGTGGCTGGCCCAGCGCGTCCCCGACGACTCCTACTTTGTGAGCGCCAACCAGGGCCGCTTCACCACCATCCCCACGTCAGACTCAGACGCCCTCGCCTCGAGCGGCGTCCAGTCGTTCGCCCGCCAGCACGGCCTCTGCAACTCGAGCCGCCCCTTCAGCTTCTTCGAGTGCTACATGCAGGACGACCCCTCGGACCGGCACTTTTACAACCGCCCGCGCGTGTCGCGGCTTCAGTTTCTGTACTCTGGCCACCAGGGCCCGGACTACCCCGTCTTCCTCAAGCCCAAGAAAAAGCTCAGCGTCTGGGACGTCGCCAGGGGGCTGCGGGACCACTTCCAGGGGACCCCTGGGGAGCCCTACTTTGCGCAGAACCCTGGGGGCCCCTGGCGGCCGATCAGCCTGCTCAGGACGCAGCTGGCGCACGTCAGCGTGCAGCGGCCGGTGGGGGGAGGCCTGCCGGATGAGCTGACCTTTGTGGGTGAGTGATGGGTGTTTGTGTGGTTGTGAGCACGTGTGTATGAGTGTGTAGCAATGTGTGGCTGTGTGTGCCTGGCTGTGTGTGTGTGTGTGTGTGTGTGTGTGTGTGTGTGTGTGTGTGTATGTGTGCGCGTGGCTGCGTGCATGAAGGGGTTGCGCTCACATGTGAATGCTCTGGCTTCTTCATGTTGACGTGCCATGAAATCCGGCATGTTGAGGTGTGCAGATAGAGTGTGTTTGGCCACCGGTCCATAGGTTGTCACGAGATGCATTGCAGCCGTTGTGGGTGAAGCAAGTGCCAGTTGCCCGACGGAGCGTGAACATGCATCATTGCTGGCGCTTCTTTTCACCATCAGCCAGGTCCTTCATCCCGTGCACAGGGCACTTGCCTCCCGTAATCGCACCCGCGCTGATTTCGACGACACCATCTCTCCCACCCCCATCCCCCGACAAAACAACTAAACAAGTCTACCCCCGTACCCCCTGCCCCTGGCAGAGTGGGTGGCGTGGGGCATGCCCACGCTGTCGCCCTTCCTGCCCCTGTACCTGCGGGCGCTGCCGAAGGTGCCTGCACGTCTGCAGGGCCCCAGCGACCAGCCGGACGACACCACCCTCTACTGGATTATGCGGCGCCTGCAGGTCAGCATAGCCATGGTCCGGAAGCGGCTTTTGTTGTCAACTGAATCTTGTCACTGCGGCTGCGTCCAACCCACAAGCGGGCGGATCGCTTGGGGCCTGTTTTTAGAGGCAAGCCTGCCTGCTTGCAGGTTTGAGTGGTGCGGGTGGGGGTGGCCGAGCCACCAGGCCCGCCACCCTCCACCTTGCCCAGCACCCCTGATGCAAAAGTTCTCCGCAGGCTCATATTCACATGCTCAAAATGCTCAACCCAAACAAAACTCAACCCCCCACCAGGCTGTCGTGTTCCAGGACTTCCCGGTGCTGGCACCCCCGGCCATCAAGGTCATCACAACACTGGAGAGGGGCATCGCCAAGGCCGCACGCGCCATGGAGCACAGGTGCGGGGGCTGCATCAGGGGGTGATGGGGCACCCTCCGCCAGGCGTGCGTCGACACAAGGACATCTGACATCGGCTGTCGCCTGCGGCCTGGGGCATTTCCTGGTAATCAGCTGCCTTGCTGCAGCCCTGATGTCAATGTCAGGCTTCACGGCAGGCACCCAGACCAAGTCCTCACACAAGTGGCTTCTGCGGAGAGGCTTCCGCCCTGCCTGAACCCTAAGCACGCATGCAGTCAGCGCTCACTCCATGCGCCAACCTCGCAACGGCGGACCCACCAGATACAAGGCCAGTCTGGCGTCGGAGAACCCTGGGGCGGCCCCCCAGCTGGTGCAGGACTTCACAGACGCTGCGGTGGAGGTGCGCAACACAGGGCTCCTCCTGGGGACCGAGTCCCCCTTGGGCACTCCCCCTGGGCTGCCCCCTGCTGAGACTCGCATGCACTGCATTGCACGTAGGACACAAAGCTAGACTCATGCCTACTGAACCCATGCAAAACCACAGGTCACTGCCGCGGTCATCTCGAAGGTGACCGCCCTGCTGGCGGCCAAGGCCGGCCTGGGCCCGCTGACTAACGATGACTACGCGGCCATGCTGGTGGCCGCTGAGCTGGAGTACCATTTCCACCTGCCAGAGGGCCCCCAAGGCCGTGGCAAGAAGGACAAGAGGAAGGGGCCCGAGATCAAGGGGGGTCTCGACACGGGAGCCGAGGGGGGGGCGGCGGCGGCAGCGGCTGGAGGGGGCGAGCCGCAGGAGGCAGGGGCAGCGCCCAAGTCGACGTGAGCGACTGTGGCGGTGCGTGATAGGTTTTGCCGCCTGCCTGCAAGCATGTCGCCTTGTGTGGGAAGGCCCGCGTGTGGCGTCTCAAATAGGTTATTAGTCCTGATCTTATCTGGTGAGCCGGCTGGGCCCCTTGCTTGTATGACTCGCAAATCCGATTTGCATACAGTGTCTCTGGGTGAAAATATGACAAGCCCTGTTGCGCCGCCAGCAGCGCAACTCCTGCTGCATGTCTCGCTTGCCGTTTTTGCTGATTTCTGTGATAAGTGCTTCCATTTATATTCACGAGCCAGAACTTGTTTGAGAAGTAAATTCACTCATATGCCTGACAGCACTGACCATGTGTATCATAGTTGTAACCCCCTGTCATTTTTTATCTGCCCTTTGAATTGTCATTTGTAGGGCTGATGCACAGCAACTCTCATCATCTCAAGAGCTGTCGCACAAACTTGAAGTACCAGAATATGGAGTCACACTCAGCCGCAGCGGCCGTTTCAAACGGCTTTTACAAGTATAGATGCACCTCTCCAGCCGATACGCATACACCGGTCACGTGCCAGTCAAGATTGCCAGTCCAAGCACGGGTGAAAGCAGCTGTCGTATAATACACCCTGGGCAACGCATCAGATTGCAACGATTTGACCAACAAGCATGCAAGCAAATCCCAAATCAACAACATCCGTGTTGTGACTTTGCAAGCACGGCATAAGATTATGCGATTAAACCCCAACCCCCTGCACTGTTCCCCTACAAAGACCCCTCACAAAACAGAGTGATGGCTCGAACCATCCACTTTCGCCTCCACCAAAAACATAGCTTTGCCCTCTCACGGCGCGGCGTCGATTTCGGGCGCCGTGATGTCATCCATTTCGCCGCCAGGCGCCGCCGCAGCCTTCGCTGCCTCGCGGCGGTTTTCGGCACCGCCTGGGCCCATGACATCATCACGCGTCACATCTGGCATATCAGCGGCGCCGGCGCCGCCCGTGCCGGCGGCGCCGGCGGCGAGGCCTTCCATGGGCGTGCCTGCACCGCCGCCAGTGCCAGCAGCGCCTCCGCCAAGACCCTCCATCAGCGCGCCTGCTCCGCCGCCGGTGCTGCCGGCGTTGGCGCCGAGACCCGTTGTGGGCAGGCCTGCAGCGCCGCCGGCAGCAGTCCCACCCATACTCACGCCGCCGATGCCGCCAATCACCTCCATAGGCGCCTCTGACGCGCCGCCCTCGGCGCCGCCGCCGAGCTCCATGCCCGCGCTGGTTGTGCCAGCAGGCTCAGTGGGCACAGCCTGGGGGGTGGGGGCGCCCTCTGGGCCGCCGCCCTTGAGGGCGACCATGGCAGGCACGACTGACGGCATGCGAGCCTGGTCCAGGGCAGTGTCGACTGTGGGATGGACACGGGCAGGGTAGTTGAGAAGTTGAGACCGCCGTAAACCGGCAGATACTTGTGAAGATTGACAAAAGCTGACCACTTGCTGATAGTTGTTGGCAGTGGAGCAGAGAGCGCGGATACTCACGGCGCGTGCTGGCAGCCGCAGGTTGGGTTGGGCAGGTGTGGAGCAGGAGCAGGACGCAGGCGTCGCCTAGGGGCAAATGCGCGGCTCACCCTGCTTTGCGGCCGCCAGGGAAGCCTCGTTGAAGGGCGGCAGGTTTGGGGCCTCGGGGTGAGGCCTCGTGGGGGCGCGCACCTGGTGTACCGTAAAGGGGATGGAGGGGGAGGCATTTGGAGGTCAGGGCGCTTGGCAGCAAGAGGCTTTGAGCCATCCAGACCTGATGGCCATCTATACTGTACATACCAAGTGCGCCTCCAACATCCTGTGTTCGGCTCAACGAAACAACCAGCCAACCCCCAAACAATCCTCCTTTCACATTTGAAAGCCCTTTGCCACCGCCTGAAACCAGAATCTGCCCGACATTTCAGACTGCACAGCGCAAAAGCATGCCTCCCAAACATCAAAATCAAGCACCCCGCCACCCCCCACAATTCCACAATTCCAAAACTAAGGCCGGCGGCGCCCACCTTTGCGGCCTCAAACTGCAGCCCCAGCTGCAGCAGCGTCACCGGCGTCAGCGCGTCCCCCATGCGCGGCAGCAGGGTGCCCTCCTCCTCTGCCACGTGGGCCAGCATGGCCTCGACCGCCCCCCTCACGGCCATATCAAAGGCCGGGTCGGTCGAAACCATGGTGTCCAGCTGGGGGGGGGGAGGGTGCAAGCAGAGAGGGGGGCGTGATGCTGCAGCAGTTGCGCTTGGTGCAGAGGTTTGCAGTGATTTGCGGCGAGGAGGGGGCGGGGAGAAATGAGGGTAATGCACAGCTGCTGCCCATCAACCGCTTGCATCATCCTTCCCGCGGCGGGCAGGAGGTAGGCAGGAATGAGAGTGACTCAGCAATGGAACGGTGAACGGGTTTGCCAATTTGCACAGGTGTGAAGTAGAACATGTGCAACCGGGCAAGCACAAGCAGGTCTGTGACAATATCACTTTACAATGTTGCTGGCAGGCGAGGACATTGTGCTCTGGATGCTACCATGGCATCAAACCCCGCCAACGCCCACCTGGGCAGTGAGGCGCTTGACCTGGGCACAGGCATGGGGCGGGACACGGCATGCGTGGGGACAATTGATGGGCATGGGTGGGGCTGCGGAGCTGGGGGTTGATGCAGTTCCCATAAACAGATGCCTGACCGGGCTTCACAGAACCAAGGTTGCCGGCAACAACTACCACAGGGACTGCTCTTAAACCCTGCAGCTGCGTGGTCTGGTGCCGCCTTGCAGAGACCAATTGCATGCCACCACCTCCCAAACGCCGCCTGCTGCCCCGCCACTGACCTGCGCGTGCTCCTGCAGGCACTTGTCCGCCTCCATGTCGCCAAACACAGCCCTGTGGGCGGTGCAGGAGAATCCACCAGCGCCGTGCTTCAGGCGAGGCGCATCCCCTGCTCACACAGCCCTCACATCATACCGGCACGCATGCAGACAACGTCTGCGAGCGTTTGGCAAACGCTGGCATGCGCCAAGACTGGTCTGGCAGGCAATATGCGTGAGCACTGCCAGGTCCGGCCGGCTGCGGACAGGCGTAGGTGTGGGCCCCAATCGGTAGATTGCAGGCGAGCCGTTCACCGACGATGCCAAGTGCACGCCGCTGCATGCTCACCTGATGGCGGGGTACAGCACAAGCTCCTCCTTGGCCGCGTGCTCTGACATGCACTGCAGCAGTGTGTGTGTGTGTGTATGTATGTGTGTGTGTGTGTGTGTGTGTGTGTGTGCGGGGTGGTGGTGGTGGTGCAGGCTACCTTGCAAGACGATCCGCGCCGCATTGCGACATACACCCAACTCGGCCGGTTGAAAAGGTCAATACGCTGCAGGGGTGCAGGCGCACCACTCGGCACGCCAACCTCTGAGCCCGCCCACCAGCATGCGCACGTGTCAGCTCGCCCCCACACGCGCTCACGCGTGCCAACCCGCACGTACACGCAACCACCCCCCTCCCGTATCACATACGCACGTATGCACCCACTGCCCCGCACCATGATAAGCTCCCACGACAGCAGCTGCCGGTTCTCAGCCGATAGCCCGGGCCCCAGCTTTGTGTAGCAGTCGTACAGGGCCTGCGCGGTGCACGAGGGTGGAAACAAGGTGAGGGGAAGAAAGGTTGTGTGCAGCTTGTCCATCAGACAAAGATGCCAAGTATGATTGGATGGTCAACAGCTGCAAGAGAGCCACTGCAAGCAGCCTTGCTTGGACAACCACCGCTTGCGACTTGCACAAGAGTCCGTCGCTGTGCACAAGGAGAGGCGCACCATCAGCACTTGCACGCGCAAGGTGCCCCAACCTGCAGCTACTCGCCTTTGGCTGCTCCTCCCAACTCAACCCACGCGCAACCCGCGAATAAAAAACAAATTCAATTCCAAGCCGCTCTAGCCCACAACACACCCATCCCTGCCGCATCATCAACATCAATATTCAGCCCACCCTGAGCCTGTTGTGGTCCAAAACAATGAGCTCCAGCACGTTGATGCTGATGGGGGTCAGCACTCGGCTCAAGCCCAGGTTAACGCTCACGGCTGCAGGGAAGTGGAGGGGCATGCAAGCAAGGTTGGGCGGGTGTGGGCTGCGGTGGCAGGCAGGGCAAGCCTGGCTGTGTGGAGTGGCACAGGACCAAGTCCACTTGAAGTGGGTTCAGAAGCGGTGTGTGCTACCAAGGGTGCACGCATGAGTTTTGCGTGCAGATGCACCCAAAGCAGCAGTGGAGGAAAATGGGCCGGACAGCACAGTGCTGGCCCCAAATGACGCAAACGTCCTAAGCGGGTAGAGTTTGTTTCAAAATGCAACATCGCAGCAACTATCCCCAGCTGCTGATTTAACTACAGCACACAAGCTGGTAATAGTTGCTGCGATGTCACATCTTGAACCCATCAAAGTCACGCAGAGTGGGGACATGCCAACCGCCCGGGACCTTTCGCGGCTGACAGATGCATCTACAACCAATACAGCAGCAACCGCGCTTCGCCCAAGTGCACATGCTGCAGCATGTTGATGTCAATGAACAAAGCAAGATAGTGTATCCTGACAAGTTGTAATGCAACAGCACGCATCCGCAAATGTACGGTACCCGTCAGTGCCACGCGTTACCATGCGACTTACCTCCTGCAGTGACATCGATCTGGGGGCTGTGTGTGAGGCCCACAGTGGCGGTGCCGCTGCCATCAGGGTTCCCAGCAGCGTTAAGCATGGAGGCGGCCATGTTGTCACCTGATAACGGCACGCTTAAAGAGAACCTGCGGAGGCGCGGTGTGGCAGCACGTGCGGTGATGTCACCACCTTCTGAGGCAGCGGGCGCAGCAGCGACAGCCAAGCCAGATTTGGGACGGCTGAGCGCAGAGCTAACAAATTCACGGGTGTACTGGTTGGGTCCTCAAACGTGGCGGTACACAAGTTGCCTTGCGGAGTGCGGTCTAAACAAACTTAGATCGTCCGTGTCACCTTACGATACGTCAGCACGGCAAGAGTGCGAGCAATAGTTAAGAGGAAACGACTGAAAAATTTCATGAACGATGGGCTGTCGTGTAATCGTTCAGTCCGATCGGGGGAATTTTTGGGGGCTGTGCACAGATACTGTGATGAACCTTGCGCCCACAAGCCAGATGTAAAGGTCACGAACACGTGGCGTAAAGGTGAAAGCAAACTTTCACACATGACATATTGCGGGGCACCCTCGACATTCGGTGGGTCATGTGACAGCGGTTGAATGCACGACTCATATCCATCAGCCCACCGTCTTGATTGTGCTGCTGTCAGGGAGGGCGATTGCAGGCCCTAGCAAGCGGATTCAGCGATGTGTAAACTCCCGAACTGCTGGAATTTGGCTGGATCACGGTTACTGCGATTGTCTGAAGCAATGACGCACGCGTGCGTAGGGGACCCAAGCAACCGCTGGGCGTCGGTGCACCAGAGTGTAGTACATCTTTGGTAAGTTGTCTCATACCTGCCAGCCCATGGCGAACCGCTGATGGAGCAGCCTTTGTTCCCAGCAGCAAGGCTATGGCTCGGCATTAGGCTGTAGCAGCCAAAGCCACGGGTGCCTCAGGGGCCGAGCTCCCCCTGCTGCTGCTGAGCGTCGCTGCCGAGCACTGCCGCTGTTAGTGGTATGCTGCGGCGG